AAGCAAGCAACATTTATAGGGGGAAGGGACCAATTAACCGTCAAAGAAAGCAAGCAAAATTTACAGGGGGATTGGGCCAATAAACCGATGGACTGACGATGGACTCCCGCAAGATGTCGAAAGCTCAGACAAATAAAACTACGCTTCCGGTGGTCGAAACTACTTATTCTCAATCTATGGACTTTAAACAGTTGCGAGAAATAAAGTGTGTTGTAATGTTAGATATGAGTACATGCGCGCTGGACTCCAATAAGTGCACGCCTGTCTGATGCAAAAGCAATTCTTAGGGCCTGACAGTGTTGATGTGACACCAAGTGGGAGCAAGTACTGGGCAGTACCTACGTCGGTGCTTTGCAAGCGCTTGGATACACTTTGGAACTGCGAAGACTGGTTTGACGACAATGACACATAAGTCCCGCGCCTCTTCTCCCAGACAAAAAAGATGGGCTACATACCGCCTATGCCAAGAATTGGGTCGACGAAAGGAATGCTGTACTCGCAGCAGGGGCTTGGCAATATGAGAAATTAATAACTGACTTGAAAGACAGACTAAATACAGGATACACAAAATCTAGTTAAGTGAATAATTCCAACGCCTCTGCGTGCCTCAGGCCAACGAAATTGTGCGCACATACTCACATGAGATTGCTTCTAGAAAGTTAGCAGAATCACATCGGGACCGTCCTTAGTCGATTGCTTAATAATTGCGAGACGTCCATCAACAATCTTACTCGAAGCATCCCGTTTTAGATGACAATCGCAGTGATGCAACAGATGTCTACTAGAAAATGTCTGGGTGTCTGCCGAATTCCCGCGGTACCTTTAAACACAGTGAACCTCGACTCAAGAACAGGCTAGCTTAACTGTTCTAGGAACTGCGTCGGCAAGGAAAAATACTGCATGATTTTATGGACTCGACCATGCTTCAGCTACACGAGCCTAAAGAAGGGTGTGGACTCTGGCAGTCACCGAAAAGTCTTTCTCATCAATAGTGCCTTCAATGTGTTCGTCCAAATTCCTCCCAGTCGCCTGCATATAAGCCTGGGACGTACTTGTTTCAGAAACACAACGCGCATTCGAAGAACACCATAGAGGGAATACTAAGCGGACATTTTGATGTTAGGAACGATTTATACTCATTATCGGGCAATCGCACGACGACGTGCCGGCGCGTATGACGGACAGTCTCGGAAGTATTTGCGACACGTAGATTGAAGTAGGGTTGCTTGGTGGCCTCCCACCCTCTTTAGTCTAATGCACTTCGCAATGTTGCTGGAAGTCTGATGTGGCAATCTACCCGAAATAGATAGTGTTTACGTTAGTGAAGGGTATATTTGAGAACAGAAGTTGAGATAGATGCAATACAAATCTATTTCACTGCAAACCGCCGTTGCATTCCATTCAGTCCAATGCTTATCAAAATGTCGCAGATGACACTTAACTGTTTGCCATTTGATCTGCCACAAATGATTTGTAGTCACCTGTTTTGGTAGAGAACGTCTTGCACCGTGGTGAGTCTGTGTCGGGCTGTCTGATAGTAATAACGAGGTGCCTCAAAATATCCCTCCAGAACTAAACATCTGCTCCTTTTCAACTGTTACAGTTGGTGATTAACTTGTGAGCGTTGTCCTGTCTGTTTTGCCGTAGACCAAACTTCCTGCAGCTGGTTTTCCACACGCTTCTTGTTTTTGGCCGGAAAACTTTCTTTTGGCGCTATGAGTTGGCGGGATTACAGCCGTCTTGTAGTCCAGACATCCGGTTAAACCGTTGCTCACCGGGCAGGTGGCCGAAGGGGCAACTTCCTGTTGTTCGAAGATGGACTTCTTTATTCATCCGTTCGCGCACCAGTTTAGGCTTCTAGTTTTGTACCGTGCGACAGAGGAATTCTCGTTGCATACTGAGCAACTTTAGCCATGTCGTAAGACCATTATAGGTTGTGAGCATTTTACCCATTGCGGCCTGCGTTGTACGAGACCAACATGTCCATCACGCAAGTTTCTAATGCACTTTAGCCGTGGGTTCACGCCACTTCAGCCACTATTCCCAACGTCTTACCCAGTCGCCTTGGTTCCAAATTGCCCACTTTTTTCCACGTATCGGGTCTGTTTTCCTTTTGTAACAATTTTGAATGCGCTGGTGACAGACGAAGCCAGCGCAGTTGAAAACGGCTATTTTAGTCCCAAATTCTGGGCTTGAGTGAGGGTGGCAGACGACGCCGCATAAAACAAAAATGGCCATGTCAGTCACCTTTGTCTTGGTCGGGCTCCTTTGAGTTCGCAAACTGCTTCTTCACTCGTACTCATTCTCTTGCGCTATTGTCTTTATGCGTTCCGATTAACGCTCGTCTAAGTACCTGCATTTCAATGGCAGTCACAGAGTCCCAATTGTGGCAGTCGCCAAAAAGTCGACGTATACAATTTTTTTTTCTCCAACATGCTTTGTATTCCCTTTTGCCTTTGAGTTCAAACAGTCGAATTACTTCGCTTTTTGGGAGATTATTTTGCTTGTGGATCTCGGCCCATACATGCGTTTTTACCTTGGTAGTTGGTTATTATTTTGTCACGAATTGGTGTGCTCCTCTTTCTGTATATATAGTGAGGATTCATTAAAATGCTGCCAAGTTCATCGAATTTCCTATTTACTGCTTATGACATAATCCCGCACCAGATAACAGCCCACGATGCTGTACACAGGCTGCTGCCTCCTGAGTTATTTCTACTGAACTCTTGCTTACTCTAAATGAATCAACCTATTGAACTCTGTCATGAATAATGACAGGCTGACCCGCCTGGATTTCACCTCGATCTCAAATCCTGTGGCTGAACTTCCCACCGCAACACTTGCACATACTTTTGTTGTAGGTTCCTGCATCTTTGGTGACTCATGCGAATCTGACGGACCCCCTGCAGTCACCATCGCCGGATGCAAGCACTGGTTGCCCCGCTGACGCTGCAGCCGTGGGGACAAACATCCCAGCCCGAAATTGGTCGTCTGTCTCCTCCCCCGCGGCCTCCGAAACCACCTTTCGACGCCTAACTTTGCGAGGCCAGCAGCTACTGTACAAACCTGGAAGTGCGGTGAAGATGAAGGCGGACTCCTCTGCCTCTGCGCCAAACCTCTTTTCCTCCATGTTTGGCATCTTAAGCCGTCGGGGTTCTGGCCCGAAAGATGGCAACCAGCGACGCCTCTTTGTGATGAGGCATGCGGAGCGAGTGGACCTCTGCTTCGGCCGTGGCTGGACCACGAACTGCATCGACCGCAGAGGTGAGTGTTTATTTGGTTACATTTACCCTTATCAGGAGATTTGGCAGATTTGCTTAATTTAAGTTGACCCAATTGTGAAAAAACTCGAGGCGTTCGGCGGGATTTGAACCGGCGTAGTAGAGGAGGCCTTCACCGGAAGCCAACGCTCTAACTGTTGTTTTTACTGGTCGTGGACGATTTTCCATCACCACCGCTCAATTTCTATTCAGGATTATGTCCTTTATTGCATGCCAGTAGTTTACGGATAACTTTTTGCGTCTTATCTCGCAGACTGACTTTACCTTGGTGCGATCTCGTGGGAAATAACCGCATAACGAACCGAAGGGGTGGGAGGAGAGGGTCTACGAGGAAAATCTAGGTTGCCCTCTTCTCTCATCTTCGGTTACCCAGATCGTCTGCTATTGCTGTTTTTGGCTCTCAGTAGCGTAGGCTGCCTAAAATCTTCCAGCTCACATAATTCTATACTCTTTCTTCTAGTCAACTAGGCAACCTTAATTCCTTTAAAACGTTTGTTTCCTGTCGGGCAGATGGCCATCAAATGACCCAACCAACGGCAAGCTCTTCGGAAAACGTTTACCACGTCCGCTCACCTTTCGGAATCGTGCAACGCCTAGTGTACCTTCTGGGCCAAAAGTGGGCAAAGCCAACCTTGAGCGGCGACTTGCAGACTGCTAAAAATAATCTAAATCTATAGCCAGAATGGACAAGCATTAGACGTCAGGGAATACCAATTCCAGCGTTTTGCGCACTACTGCGCGTATACCCTCAGCCCGAGTTCTCTGGCGTTGTAAATGTGTAGATTAAATGAGTGTCCACCTCAGCAAGCCGCGCTGGAGGTATGCTGGACAAAAACGTTGGCTAGATTGGGGCACGGTGCGCGTCAACCAGAGTACGCACCTTCTATAGCATGTTATGGTGTCACGCCTAGGTTTCACGCCCCTCCAGTCACTTGCACCCAATCCCAGCATTAGATGACTTACCGGCTCAGACAGCGAAGTGATGCATGGGAGGGGGAAGCGAGAGCGCTATAGACTCTGGAGACTCCATGCCCACGTCAGTTAA